CTCAATAGAAATAAATAGGTCCCAACAGTACCAATGAAGAGAGAGACCATCCCTGCTTCCCCCTCCAGTTGGGCACCTGCTAAATATAATTCTCTTCTCAGAAACATAAATTCTCTTCTCAGAAAAGGGACATCCCCTTTTTTGTGTGTTCAATATATCATTTGTTTGAAGACAGGCTGAAAGGAAGGCAAGATAAGACTCCCAACTGGGACCCAGGGCAAAGCTCAGCCCCTCTGTGCAGCCTATGGTGGTGGGCCAGGACCATGTGGACCACATAAGCCCACAACGGCTCTTGGGCCTCCTCTGGGCTCTGAACCTGCTGGTGCCTTTAAGTCCTGTGCCTTCCTCCTGTTTTGGAGAGTGAGACCCAGGAGGTGTGGTACCCCACATCTGCTGCTTAGGTTGGCTTTGGAGCCTTAGAGAAGGCAAAGGGCGGTGAGTACAGTTGCCAGTTCAGCAGCTGATGGCAAAGGGGACATCTCTAAGAACAGCCTAAATCCTTAGGTCAAGACCATGGTGTTAGTCACCAGATCCTAGAATTGTGACACTGCAGGGATCACCTGATCCACACCCTTTGTATAAGAAACCTCTTGCACACTCATCTGCCTGGAAAGGGTCCCTTCATTCTGTAACTCACCTTCCTCTAGGCTTCACAGATGTGTCTTCCCATTTCTGTGGGCTTTCCTAAAGAGGGCAAGGCCAACGGTATTGGCAAACCCAGTTTCTTCCCTCATCAGGGTTCCCAGATGTGGATACAGTGACCTAAGAGCCCCTGCTAGTAAGCATTCCTCTTAACTTTTCTGGAAAGCTCATTTGGGAAACCCTAACCCCATCTCATTTTTTTCAACCTCCTCATGTTCTAAACCCAGCTCCCCTCAAGGGTACACTTAAGCCCAGGCCATGACCAATGCGAGATGTTTAAGGATGGGGGAGGGGGTCAGCTATGGAGAGAAGTCAGGAGACATTCTGCGAGACAAAGCGGGTGGGCCCCTGCTGGAGGGCCAGGGGACAGACCAGCACCTACCCCCCAAACTGGAGACTCACCCAGACCCCACCTCACCCAGACCCCACCAGCCCCAGTTCCAAATTGAAATTTGCTCACCCAGTTGGTGGCACTGGACGTTAATATTTCTATCGCTGTCCTTAGGAATTAATTTCTAAAAAACTTAATCACCACCTCTTCCCTCTCCCTCACCCCCTTCCTTTCTCTGTTCTTCTCTTTTCCAATTTTCCACTTGGCTGGGAATTCTCCAGCAGCGAAAGTTCAGGCTTAGGGGAGGGCGGAGGTGGCTGCTTCATTAGAGAGGATAATCTCATTGGAACCACTGGCTTGAATAATAACCCCTCCAAGGGCCAGGCCTCTGTCCCCATGGCCTTTCAGCACCTCTGAACTGGGGCTGGAGGGCCCAACTGCAGAGAAAGTGGAATGCGGAAGGGGCGTAAGGCGAAGTTAGTAGAGCCAGACTCCAATTCTGGGGGCCTGAGCTGTCTTCTCGGGGGCCCGCTTCCTGCTGGCCACATGCAGATCTGTGTTGTGAAAGGGCGTGGTGATGGCAGCCCCATGGATGACTGTCTGAAGACTCCAAGTCACCTAGCATGCGCTTTTTGAGTCCTGCCTGGCAAACGGATGAAGCAGGTCCTTCCTCCAGCTCCAGGGTCCTCCCACAGTGGAGTTGAAGGAAATGCCATAGGAAGTACCTGGAGCCCTTTTGAAAGAAACAAGCCACCACCCCGCTACCCCCAAAAGTCATGACTTAATCCTTTGCACACTTCCCAACTCTTGCCTGGGCTAATGAGAAATCACAGTCCTAGAAGAGTAGGAGGCCATTACCCTCACATTCCCCATAAGGACTCCGAAGGAATCCATCCTTCCCCCTCCATTACCCTCTCACATCTAAGGTCAGCTGTCTGTGTTTTGGGGCATTTGCAGCCTCGGCCCTCATGGGCCCTGAGGGGTAGTAGAAATGTCAAAACATCCCTGACACTGACCTTAAACTTGACTTTCCACTAACAGAGCTGAGTACTCAATACCCTTTGACAGCTACTGAGAAAGCAGCACTCCAAGCGAGCCAGACCACTCTTTCCCTCTTTCCTCCCTCCTGGTCTCTGGGGCTCCCCGTCCCTCATTAGGAGGAAAACTGCTGGAGCCATCTCTGCCTTTTTGTCTCTGGTTTGCCCCATGGACCAGTCTGGAAAATCTGTGCTTCTGTGTCAGCTGTGTTTTAGAGAGCTTGCATGAGGAAGGCGGAGCATTGATGGGGTCACAGTGCTAGTGGACGTGTACTGATGGCTTATCGCGTACGAGCTATGCCCTGTTCTAAATGTTTTACATGCATAACTTCATTGAATTCTCCATAATAACCCTATTTTTTAGATACTGTTTTGTCCCCATTTTGTAGAAGAGAACATTGAGGCACGAAGAGGTTAAGTTATTTCCCCAAGATTACACAGTTAGATGGGATGTTTGAAATTATAAGCTACAGGTGGCTTCCCTGGTAAGACCTAAATTGGGGGTCAGGGGGATAACGAGTATGTGGTTTTGGGGCTCTCAAATTTGGGGAGCCATGGCAGGATGCAGCCACACCGACTTTGGAAGCAGCAAACCGTGCAGGTGTGCCTCATCTTGAGACCCTCCCCCCCAACCAAGTACCTTTGTACACCTGCAAGAGAAGTAGAGTCCTCTCTTCTCCATCTGAGTCTGTATTTAGTAACTCCAGGTAAGGTTTGGCCTGGGTGCAGGTTCATTTTTCTCCCTTCATAATTTGATCAAAGACATTTTTCAGACCTACTGATTGCTGTTGGAAATACGAACTTCAAAGTTGGGGAGTCAGTGAATAATTTAAGCCTGTACCAGCTCTCTGGGTCTGCTGTTAATGGGAGTAATAACACTATTAATAGCGATGTCAGTGCAGACACCCTGGAAAAGTCCATAACATTAGCTTAATGGCTGGAGGTAATGAAGTCCTCACAGAGGAGCTAGCCTGGTAAATTAACTTCCAAGACTTTTAGGCAGACGCCCTTGTTGCCATGGTCGGCTAGAGCAGGCAGGGAGTGCCAGGGAGGTGACCACATTCATGTCTGACCCTTCACTCTTGGGTTTCCTAGAAGGATCCTGGAGAATTCACAAGTTGTAATAATATTCAAAGTGCTTCCCAGTGGCAGGCAAGAAGAAAAAAAAAAAAAAGTGATTAGCTTAGAGACAAAGCTTGAAGGGAAATTTTGAAATTGCCTTAAGCAACATGAATCGAACATCAAGATGGCAGGGAAATGGGTTTAGTCTGCAGCAAGAGGGGGTCTGTCCTTCCCTCCTCAGTCTCGAAGCTTCAGGGAGGTACAGCACGGCAGAGGCTCCAGGGTTCATCTGTGTTCAAATACTGGCTCTCTCTGTTGAGCTGGTGACCTCGGGCAAGTTACCTACCCTTCCTGCAGTTTCCTGGTCTATAAAATGGGTTTTTAAGTGGTACCTGCCTTGCAGCATTGTTGGGAGACTTTGACATAAACCGCAAGCCTCTTACCAGGGAGCCCAAGAAACGCTCAGTGACTAGTAGCCATGATTGTATCACTTAGAATTGTTTTTCACTTTCACATTACATGTCCAATTTACTCTGCACTCATCATTTTTGTCCCTGCGTCTCCCCTTCTTCCTTTAGTCCATGCCTTCAGTGACTTCTTCATTTGCAGAGTTCTCCCCCCAGACTCGCCACTGTTAGGCTGTCCCTCCCACAGAAGCCAAAGCTGTCTTCCTTCCCTGTGGCATTCTTCCTGATGACTCAGGCACCATCTCCCTGCTGCCCCAGCTTACCTCAGCTTGTCCCTCTAAGGACCCTGCTTTCCCTTACCCCGCAGCAGAATCAGGAGTCCACAGCTTCCAGATCATGGCCGCTCAGCAAAGGTCCACATTCACATGGCTTATCAGATCTGCATTAAAAGCCTGTTCCCCAAAGCTCAGATACCTCCATGCGGTGAACTCCCACTGTAAGGCAAGGATGCCCTGGCCCTGGCGGAGAGTTTAAGCATCTTCCCCCATGTGGGGTGTGCACATTTGGGTGAAGGTACATGATTCTTATGTGCATGTTTCACAAGCTCCATCAGCGAAGACTGTAAGATCCCAGATCACCCTGGATGGAGTCTACCCGTGACGCAGTGTACTTTGAACAACACGGGACGCTAAGCAATAATAGCAAACCTTCTCTAACGGTAACCCTGGGCCAGGGAGCTGGGATTCCCATCCAAGGCGGTCTGGCTCCAAAGCATGCTTTGAACTGCTACACTCGGCTCTTTTGATCCTTCCTTCCCTCCCTCCCACCCACCTACATTTGTCCTCTGGCTGCTGGACATGAGGTATACAGGGGATTCCAAAATAAGTCAGGCATCATTTCTTCTTTTGAGCTCACACCTGGTAGGAGAGGCTGCACTTAACCCAATAATTATAATACAATCAAAGACTTTCTAGACTACTGGACACCCCCAAATGCTCTGAACTCTGCCTCAGGTGGTAGCAGGGAGAGATTGCAGATGCACAATGGTTGAACCACGTCTGGAGGGTAGGTAGAAGCTGGACAGGGGAAGTGTGGGAAGAAGGTGGTCCAGAGAGAAGCGGCCAGCACAAGGCAAGGAAATCGGAAAGAGTATCTTGTATATGGGGTGAGAATAAGTCTCAGTTTGCCTAAGAGGGGAGGAGAGTTACAGGGCTGAGGATGGATGGGGAGGTAGAATAGCAGGACTTTGCAGCTCTTTATGTTAATGAGGAGTAGGTGAGGGGTCTTTAGGATGACCCCCAAGTTTCTGCACTTGGCAACAAGTGATTAGAATAACCATCTTTTTCACATTCAGGCACGGTGGGGGAGGAACAGGCTGGAGGAAGGAGGCAAAGAGGGCAATTCTGGACACATCGAGTTTGAACATGTCCTGGGAGCCACTGGAAGTGCCTGACCTCCATGCCAGCCCCTCACTGGAGCAAGTGGCCTTCTCCTAAGTCACTCATTGTTCGTCCCTCCCAGGTGCACCCGGAAGGAGCGCTGTGAGAGGTCCAGAGAGCCCCGCAGGTTTGCCTCTGAGATGAAACAGTGTGTCCGGCTGACTGTCCATCCCAGCAACATCTCTGTGTCCCAGTACAATGTCCTGGTAAGGGCAGTGGGATCCGGGTCCAGGGTCATGGGAGAACCCTCTCCCCACCAAAGCCCCCCAATGTCCTTAAGAACTGGGCCAAGCCTGACCAGCAAAGCTGCTCGAGAGCAGCTTTAAAGAATGTGTCCCTGGAGATGGAAGAGGGGGACACGCACAGGAATACTGGGGCAAGGCCCTCTGCATAATGGATGGAAAGATAGGGGAAAGTGTGACAGCAAAAATGATTGAATGGGTGACCAAGAGAGGGAGGATGATGAGAACTATATCTTTGTCTGCAAGATGGGAAGGATTCATGTGCAGAGGAAGAAAGGGGCAGGATATCGCCCATGTTCATGCACTGGGCACTTGGCGGTTGGTTTGCCGTTTTTCCAAAACAGGGGATGATGGAAGAGGAGCTTGGCCAGCAGTACCTCAGTCCTGCCCACCTTTCTTTCTACAAACAAATCCCCTAAGCCCTCCCATTTGCTGGGCCAAATCCATTCATATGTAACGAAGTCTCCTCTGTGTCTGTCTCTTTACCTCCCACCACCTCTGGTCTTGTAATCAATCGCGGCTTTCTTTATGTTAATATCACCTCCAGTTTTCTCTCTTTTCTTTTCTCTGATCTCTCTTGCTATCCCTCTTTCTCCTTTTATTACATACCCTTCCGTGCCCCACTTCACTCTCTTCCTCTCTCTCCCCTTGCCGGGGCTGTTCGCAGCTGGTCCTAGAGACATACAATGTCCCGGAGCTGTCAGCTGGAGTCAACTGCACCTTTGAGGACCTGTCAGAGATGGATGGGCTGGTGGTAGGCAATCAGATCCAGTGCTACTCCCCAGCAGCCAAGGAGGTGCCCCGAATAATCACAGAGAATGGTGAGTGTTCCCCAGAGGCAAAGCTGGGTGGCATGTCTTTCCTCCTGGCCTGATGAGAACTCAAGACAGGCGTTGGGGGGGGGGGGGGGGCGCGGAGGAAGCCCACTGGCAGGGGAGAGTCAGAGGAAGGGGGTGCTTTGGTGGGTATGATACAGGACAGGAGGATGAAGTGTCTTTTTGCTGCTCTCAGAAATGACTGTTGAAACCAGGTGAGCATCCTGGAGTCGGCCTCATCCTAGGTAGGAGCAGTTGCAGAGAGCACGGAGAGAGGCAAGGCCACAGCATCAGAATGTGCCAGCTGAGTTTAGAGACTGTCCTGGAGCAGGAGAGGGTGGTGTGGAGGGGCAATGCGGGAGGGGCAGCTGGTCAGGAGCATGGCCGGGGGGTGCCTATGTCAGGGCTCTTATGGCTCTGTCCCCTGCCTGAACTGCTGGGTCACTGATCTCAAACCACTGCCTCCCATCCCCACCCTGCCCTGCCTTCCCAGAGCTGCACGTTCATGGCCAGCTGCACTGGGAGGAACAGGGGTGGACAGAGGCCCAACGCCGGTGAGGGACAGGCCCAGCCTGGGCAGATTGATTCCATGTTGGCCCTCCCATTTGGGCTTGTCACATTTGTTCCAAGCTGATTGATTAATGAGGCTCTCGGGGAAGGCACAGAACAAGGCTGGAAGTGGGGGCCTGGGGTCAGGGCTGTGAATTAAACATGGGCTTCCAGCTCCTCCCTGGCGCCAGCTGAGGGTTCCAGGGACACCCGCCTGAACGGAGCCCTGAGCCCACCAGAGGAGGGGGTGTAAGACCAGGGTGTCTCCTTACCGAGATGGGGAAGGAAGTCGTGGGTGCACATACGTGCACATACATGCAAAATCTCTTGCGTGGCTTGTGGCAATATTACAAAGCGTCTACATGTTTGTCCTGGTAGCTAATCAATGTGTATGTTTATAATTCTGTGAGTCTGGTGTGGACACCATGCATGCAAGCCTGTCAGGGTATGTGCACACGAGAGCTGGTGAGCAGATGAGGGGTGGGTGCCAGGAACACAGTGTGGAAGGAAGAATAGACCAGAAGCACCCTCTGCAGATGTTCTCAGGGCTGTCCTGGGACTGGGCCCCCCTGAATCAGAGTCCTGTTAGGGGAGCGGCTCCCCTTTCCCAGTGCACATCACTCTCAGTAGGACCCTCACATGGGATCCTGGCCTTTTCCCTGACCTCGTGGTTGGCTCTGCCCCCCAGGGGACCACCATGTCGTCCAGCTGCAGCTCAAGTCGAAGGAGACGGGCATGACCTTTGCCAGCACCAGCTTTGTCTTCTACAACTGCAGCGTCCACAATTCGTAAGTGCCTCCCAGCCTCACTCAACTCCCTGTTCCTGGGGTCCGTGATCATCCAGCGATAGAAGATGCTGGCACTGTTTGCAAGAAGCCCTATAGGGAGGAGGATGAAACAGACCCCTTGCGTGGCACCCACAGGGTTAATAGGAAAAGCAGAGCTGGAATGAGAAGAGTAAGAACTTGTAGGGTGGGGATCTCCAAATCCCTGACCTATACATCTCTGGCATCAATCTGCCTCGCCTGATTCAGTTCCCACCGTCTGTTGAGGAGGAGGGTGTCCCTCACCTGAACAACAGAGCAGCTAGCACCCTGGGTGAGAGGAGGGGTGTCAGGAGGGAGAGAAGCCCCACGTATGTCCAGGCCAGGGCAGGTGGTCCAACAAAACCTTGAATGCTCAGCTCTCCCCAGTGCCCTGAGGGCTGCTGGGTCAGGACTCAGGCTGTGGAGAGTCAGAGCAGGGCAGAAAGGTCCATGCTGGCGGGCTCTGGCCTGGGAAGTCTTACTCTGGCCCTAGCTCTGGCCCTGGCCTTGTTTGACTGAATTGTCCATTTCCCAAGGGAAGGCACAGAGGACAGAGTCTCGGGCTCTCGAGTCAGACCAGCCGGAAACTTAACCATTCTGTGTCCCAGTGTCCTCTGTCAGTGGGGAAATAATAGTCCTCCTTCCAGGACTGTCACCCACATATTCCACCTCTGACATGGCAAGGGCACTTCCAGGCAGAGCTGTGGTTGGCTGGGACACCCCTGGTTGCTGCCCCTGCACATCAACCCAGCTTGGCCCACAAGACACCTGTGAAGACTAGAAGAGCCATTACAAGCACAGCAGTTAGAGCCACTGTCCAGGCGCTGCTCATGTTTTTGCTGTTATTTTATTATTATTTCCTCTGTAAAATGATGGAGTTGGACCAGACTGAGAAGGTACAAGCCTTCTTTTTTTTTTTTTTTAATCATAGAAACCTTTCTCCAGCCAGAATTAGATGTGGAAGCCCAATATTCAAGACAGATGAAAGTAGGAGCTACTCTGGTTGAGGGTTGAGGGCTTCTGGAACCCCTCTGTCTTGGAATCCCATACATCTCCTCGTCTCCAAAGAAGCTCCATGGAACCCCCAGGGTTCCATAGAGCACAGTTTGAAAACCATAAAGCCCTGCTTGTTTTAAAAGGCTATCCTGTTTTCCTCTCCCTGTAGGACAAGCTAGTTAACATAACCCAAGACATTTTGGGACTTTAGGCCGGTGGAATGTTAGTCTACCTATCTGGTTATGGCAGCTGTGAATCCAGAGCTTGGCTCTCTATGGGGCTCCCAATAAGAGGTAGTCAGGCCTCCCAGCCAAAAACAAGTTGCCTCAATGCCAGAATTCTCTTCCCGCTTCTTGTCATGGAGCTGCCCGTGGCTTTACCACTTGGTGGCCTGATCCCTCGCTCCCCTTTTGCCCCTCTAGGAAAGCAGAGTGTAGACAGATGAAATCATGTGTGAAGGTCCCAGGCAGTCCACAAAGTAATTTTAAGCATCTACTTTGTGCAGGGCAATGTGTCACTCATTAGACAGGAAGGATCAACAATTAATAAGACTCAAAGACTCAGTCTCTGCTTCCCAGAGTCGTGGCCTTGTGGACTAGTGAATGAACTGGACAGTGAATAAGTAAAATATGGTACAACAAGGCCAGTACTGCCCCCAGAGACATAAACAAAGTGATTAATGGGAAAAGGGCCCAGTGTGACCAACTCTCTGTTGGTCAAAGAAGGAAGAGGAGATGGCCAGGTGAACGAAGGGAAAGCAGTACTCCAGGTAGGAGGAGAGCATGGGGAGAGCATAGCCTGTTCGTGGCCGAAATGCCAAATACATGTGGAGACAGTGGACCTGGACATCCTGAGGGGCTTAGACTGCATGGCAAGCCATTTGGGTTTCACCCTCTGGAAGATGGGAACCATGCTGGGTTTTTAGGCAGGAAGGATCTCTTCTAAAGTTGTCTTTGTGTCTTGGGGGTGAAGTGTAGAAGCAGGGTCGCCAACTGTACAGGGACCCACTGCACTGAGAGAGAAGCCTCAGGACCTTCCTCTGCCCAGGTGGGACCATGTGAGTCCCTGACAGTGAGACCCTAGAGTCAATTTGAATTGAAAGTCAGTTTCTTTCTTTTCACTAACTTATATGGGCCCTCTGAATGAAACCCCCTACTTCAGACCTCATTGCCCCCCAATTCAACAGAAGAGGTCAGCGTCCTGTGGAGATGGAGAGTGGTTGATTAGGCCCTTAAAGATTAAGGTTTTCAACCACCTGAGTTGGGGGTGGGGGGAGGCCACAAATTCTCGGCATCCTGAGAAATTGGTGCAAAAAGGGTCAGATTTGTATCAGATTTGCCCTTCATGAGGGTTTGAAGGTGATTTCTCTTAGTATTAAAAGATATTTTACTAGACCCAGGAGTCATAGGCCCTCTGCTTTGGGTTCACCCAGGTTCTGTGATTTGTGCCTCTTCCTCCTCTGTGCTCAGGTGCCTGTCCTGTGTTGAGAGCCCATACCGCTGCCACTGGTGTAAATACCGGCACGTCTGTACCCATGACCCCAAGACTTGTTCCTTCCAGGAAGGCCGAGTGAAGCTGCCTGAGGTAGGTCCTGGCAGCTAGAGTGGTGAGTGCTGCTTGCTCTGAGCATGGGGCACAGAGGGCAGGCCCTCCCTTAAGAAGAGAAAACAGGCAAATCCCACGGGACACCTGCTTCTGCCCCAACCGCAACTCTTAAGGGACCACTTCATGAAAGCAGGAAGCAAGCAAAGCTCTGTGCTGGGGCTGGTGGGCTCTGAGTCAGTCCTGGAGGCTGAGCTACAGGCAAAGGTACATTCCAGGTCACTCCAACCATGAAGACGCTCCACATGCCAGGTGAGTTCTAGAACAGTTCCAGACAGATGAGTGTGTATGTGATTGAAATAATTGTAAGTCCACAGCAAGACTGTCTATAGACTCCTTGGCTGTCCCTCGGAGCACTGTCCACAGAGCATATCTGAGATCAAATAGGACAAGTTGGGTCAAAGGGAGAGAGAAACAAGAAAGAAAGAATGGTCAACTTACCAACCAGAGTGGTGGTTCTCAAAGTGTGATGCCCAAACTAGTGGCATCAGCATCACCTGTGAATTTGTTGGAAACTCAGAGTCAAGCACTCCACCCCAGACCAACTGGACGAGAAAGTCTGGGGGTTGGCTCAGTACTTGGTGATTCTGCTGCACAGTCCCATTTGGGCATCACTAAAGTTGGCTTCATGGTGAAGAAGCTGTGTTTTTATTCTCTCCTAATCTTTATTCTCATCCTTGAACATTATTCATCACTCTAATGGAAATACTCTATGCCTCTGCCGTTTCCTTTCTTAGGCTGTAAGTTTGTGGGCAAGCACCTTAAAGATAATGGGTGTAAAATTACTTTGGAGAAGTCCTGCTATTGTCCAACCATTATGGTGCTTGCGTGACTCCAACTTTCAGGCCAGTAGGACTGAACAGAGTGATTGCCTTAGAATGTTGTTATTGAGACTAGAAAGATATTTATGTATATACAGTGTTGGTTAGACCCCACTCAATGTAGAGCTGCCAGCCTGGCCCATGCTCTCTTGGCCAACACTGGACTCGGACAGTTTCCAACATCTTCACCCCCTTCTCCAGCCTTGGGTGTACCTTCCAGCCCCCTTCGCATACCCACACATGTGCCATGACCATGTGGCAAACCCCACGGCTTTGAGAGCATTGTCCTGGGACAGGAAGCAGAAAAGCTGTTTAGGGTACAGGAGGGGAATGGTGAGCACAGAGGCTCATCCCAGTGCCCCTGTCCCAGACTTCTACCCCCAGGGGTTTGGCCAAACCTTTAATGGCAGGAGGGAAGCTGTCTTGTCTCTGAGACTGACAGGTCAGGGTGATGTACGCTCTACTACCAACACCTGTGGCACGGGGCTCTGCTAAAGGGAAAATGACTGGACTCTGCCTGGCATTGAGAAAATCCAAGCTCCAAATCCTATTTTCCCAGGCTCTGATGACTGAGCAGGAGTTCTACAGGTAGAGAGTGAACAGACCAATTCATTTTAGAGGTAAAGGCAAGGAATGGTGAGGTTGTCAGGGGGAGGGGATGATCCCAGTTGAGAGGGAAGACACGAAGAGCAAACAAGAAAGAAACAAGAGAGGAACAAAGAAGAGAAAGAAGAGGCTGTGGAAGTCTCTGAACATAAAGCTCTCTCCCTCTATGATGGGGTCTGTCTCTGGCTAGCAATGGCTACTCTGGATCATAATCGAGAAGAGACCCACACTTAGATTGCCCTTTTATGGGGAGAAGGAGGAAAGAGAATACATGTTGGCTTTCAAAAGGAACGTGAAGCTAATGTGTATGTGTCAGTTCTGTTCTTTAAGAGAAAATGGATCTAAAGCTCATAGGACAGACATGGGTTTGACAGCCGAGGGGCGCACCACTGACATGAAGACCCTGATAAAAGGTTATACAGTTTCCTCAAACCCTGAGCCTTTATCTTGGGGCATGCAGTCAGGAGAAGAAGGTCTGCTTCACCCACCAAGACCAGGGGCTGAGGGCACAGGAAGAAACCTCTTACTTTGTTCGGGAACCTGCAAATGACTTGATGGGAACAGAAACGAAGAGGTTTTCAGCATCTCTCCGGCTTCCCGGACCGGTGTATCTGGCAGAGGTTTCATGTGGGGAGAGGCCCAAGGATAAAATAGATGAAAGCAGAAACAATTGAGCGATCTGGTGGATTTCAAAGATGCCTAATCATTTAATTACCTTGAAGGAGGTTTTCAAATTTCTGCTTTTTCTTTCTTGTTTGCTCCTCTTGTCCCAAGTTTCTGTCTTTAAATACATAAAAGCAGCTTGCATCTGCCGCTCAGAAGGAGGAAAAAAGAACTAGAAGAGAATTAAACAAGAGCCCACCATGTTTCCCAGTGCAGTTCAGAGATCCCTACAGAAGAACGCTGTCTTTAAGCACCCAGATTGCCAGCCAGGCACAACCCCCCATCTACCTCTGGGGCTGCGAAGCCTGCCAGAGAGTCACAGCACCTCATAGGACGTGGTTCCAGAGCCCCTAAGAAAGGAAAAGGCCTGAAGAAGCATGGCCAATGGAGCGTGGTGATGAAGTAACCTACCACAGCCACCCTCAGACACTCTCCATTTCACCCAAGCTGTGTTATGGTGAGCCTGGCAGACCACTGCAGCCAGAGGCCCCCTCTTTTGGATGTTTCTTTATCCTAAGAAAAGGAAGCTCTGAGGCTGTGTTTCTGGTCCAAGTTTGGAGGCTGCCTTCTACCCACCTCAATATGAGGGCCATTTTGAGTATAATGTAGTGGAGAAGCTGGAGTTGACCACTTCACGATGGGCGCTGTAGCAGCAGCATCCTGGGAAATGTACCGAAGGGAAAAGAAGTGATAAATATTTGTGGACTATTGACTGATCCAGCTATTTGGGTCAGTGGAAGGAGGTCATTGTGCTCAGAGCTTAAAAGGAAAGCCCCTGGCTTCTAATGGAAATAAGGTGATTTTTTTTTTTTTTTTATGTCGTTGTTTTGTTTTCTATGTTTTAGTCCCTGGGAAGAGCTATAGCAAGAATAAGAGGTAACAAAGAAAATTACACATTTGAAAGGTGATGTTATAGAAGCTTCCAGACACAAGTGTCCCCTCTCCCTGCCAGGGGAAGAGCTTATTCATAGCATGGTACCTGAAGCTTCGCTGCGGGTCAACGTTTGTCCTACATTACCCAATTCCTGAGCATTTCCCATATGCAGGGCATTGTGAGAGGTTTCGAGGTGTGTTAGAGACCTGTAGTCTACATTGAGAGATTAGTAAAATGGGACCATTGGTCTACATGATCTTTTAGGTTCTTTAATTGTAAGTGGAAATAAGCTGGAAAGCACCAAGGAGGAGTCCATGCCTAAGAAGTGGTCTTACAGGATGAAGTTAAGTCCAGGCTGTGGTCTCCTTGTTGTACCTACCAGGGGACTCCCCCTCAGCCTCAGGGGACACCCAGGCCCAGACCCATCCCCACAGGATGAGAGTGAGGCCCAGGCCCAGAGATTCTTCTGGAAGTCCTGGGTTTTCATTTCCTTTCAACCTTTGAGTGTGGGGACACAGACAGGGCCTTTTTGTTAGCCAAGAGGGAGTCTGCCAGGTGGCTCTTCGGCTCTCCAGCACCATCTTTTATCCCCAGGAAGGCTTTCATCCATGCGTCTTCCAGTTTCAACACTGGCTTTGTTGACTGTCACCAGGGATGTTGAATTACCTCTTTTTTTTCCCCCTGAACAAAGAGTGCATTCAGGTGAAGTTATTGGTCTGGAACAGAGAACTGGTCGATCATTGTTGTTATGATATTAATGGCAAGTATTCTAGCATAATTACAATTATTAGAAACAGAATGCCCAATAAACGTATGTTGTTTACAGTAACTATATTCTGGTTACAAGGAATGATTTTGTTTCAACTAATGATGGCATTGGGATAACAAGGCTGGGTCTTTAGATCAACTGCCAGATCCTACATACCAAAAAGAAAAGAGACAGGAAGTCAAGGAAAGCAGAAGTAGGGTGAGTCTTCCTGTGCTCAGCCCTTCTCCCAAAGTCGGGACAGACTTCTTGCTTCCCAGTGGAATGGCCTTTCCCAAGGGCAGCCATTAACCTGGCCGTGACCCCATGTCTACTAGGCGGGAAGGGCCTCTGGTCCCTGAGTGGCTCTGGAATCCCCAGGCTCTGCCATAGCCTCCCCTGAACCCCCATCAGGCCCACACACTTAATAACAGTGATCCATAGGAAACAAAGGTGAACTTCCATGGAAAAACAAATCCACTGACAAGAATTTATCCTCCATAGACTATTGTACTGTTATTTCTCATCTAAACTGGAATGCAAAGTCAGATGCAGCTGAAGCTGTTCCCTAGGAGCCAGACCAGATGGGCTTTGCTAGGAAGGCCCACGGTGCACAGGCTCAGAGAGAAAGTCCCTGTAGGCCCTCCCTCTTCTTGAAGTTCAACCAGCATGTACTCCAGAGAGCAGGTGTAAGATCAGAAGAGGCAAATGAATTCTGTCTGATTTCTGAAGCAGTGCTCGTAAGGTTCTCCTAACATCCCCTACCGACACCCCGAACATGAAGCTGTGGACAGATGGGTATTGTAAAATCTGCTGAACCCAATTGTCAGTCCTCTCCAAGACCGAAGTGTTGGCAGGGTGAGGACGGTCCTAGTCCCTGGACTGCTGTTTGCCCCTCGTGCTGAAATAAACCCCATGTCCTGAGACAGGGCAGGCCAAGGGCATTTACCTGCTGTTGGACTCTGGAGAGAAATTGGGCCATCTACCTTAAAAGTGATTCTGGCAAGAGGAGCCATTCCTGGGGCCCAACCCAAGGGATCAAAACCATCCTTGCCATGCCCTTCGCCTTCCTTTGAGAAAACAAAGCCAAAGCCAGCTAAAGAACTTGCTTCCAATCCATGCACCACCCCCACCCCAGGTATTCCATTACTGGGTTGCCGTTTCTCCAGACAATTGCACTTTCCATCAATCTCGTCTGCCCCACCACCCCCCTTGAGGTTATGGGTATTTCCTTTCTGTATTATTACTTTGCTCTCTCCATAAACCAGCCCAT